AATCAACTACATGCCAATAAAAAAAATTAAAAAATAAACTAAAAAAATTTTAATTAAAAAAAAGAACTACCTTTTGTTCACCCAACATGCAGTATATGCTGCCACCACCACCAAGCCTTTGGACCCCCAGTTTCATTTTCCTAGAACATTCTGTCCTGCCCATCAACTTTCTTAAATGTCAACTTAGAAATCACATCTTTAAGAAATCTTCCGTGACTTCCCCAAACTTTCAGTCCTACCAGGATGCTGTACTTGCTTCCCACATTACCCAGCATGCCCTGTTATCATTGCCTGTCTGTCTGTCACTCCATCAGATGATAATAAGCCGTTTTAGGTGGGAACCATATTTTGTCCTTTATTGTATCTCTTGTAATTAGAAGGTGACTAGCAAATACAGACCACTATTTTTTTTTTTAAGTTAATGACCTTTCAAGCTGAGGTCAACTCTGAACAAGCCAACAAGTAGAGCTGTCAACTAACCACAGCCCTGGCAGCTAGGTAACAAGCAAGTCCCTTCCTGAAGTCAGATCACGGGTACCACACCAATGGAAGTATCCAAAGGTTGTGCCTTAGGTTCTGAAAACAATATCAAAAGATGGGCTCCAAAGATAGCTTGGAGATTGATGACATCATTGTACTAAGTATATTTCTCCCAACATAACTTTTTTTTTAGTGGAGGTACTGGAGATTGAACTGGGGACCTTGTGCATGCTAAGCATGCGCTCTCCCACTAAGCTGTATCTACCCCACCTGCAACACAACTATTTTTGAAGAAACAGTATCCATTATTTGAACAGGCCAGTCCCTGAATATTTGGCTTTCCAAAATGTAGTCCTATTGCTTTAGCCTCGTTACTCCTACACATGCAGGACGTTGGTTTCTTTTTTCATTTTATTAACATAAATTGTTAGAATGTTTTGAATGGAACTTTCTGGCCCAATATTTGTTTTGTTTTTTGTTTTTTTTAAAAAACAACTTGTATAGGAATGGTAAAAGGGAAATTACTGTCAGAGTGTCACAGCATATTCTCATGCCAATGTCATCTAATTTGAATTCATGCAACCCAGACCCTGCAAAACATTGATCATTTAATGGTAGTTTGATAAGCTGAGTAGAATGTAAATTCCACTAGATAGAATGAGAAGAAAATGGTTTTTGCTTTTAGCATGTCACGGGTATAGCTAACTCTTAAGTTTTAAAATAAGGTTGAATAGAATCTAAACATCAATCTTGGCTAAATTTTCAGAAACCACAGGTAATGGAAGCAACTACAGAGTTTTCAGGAAAATATCCTACAGGAGGCAAGTTGTTTCCTGAGACCTAGATGAGAAAATGCCATTTTACATAGCTTGTGTCAAAATACTATGACCACACACATGCGGTTTCACTAAACTTAATAATACATGGAGCAAAATAGTTCAAAGATTCCCAGAACTTTTTTCCCCAAACATTAAACATTTTGTGCTCCCCTTCCTAAATTATCCTTGTAATTGGTTCAACCTTTTCTTGAAATTTTAAATTCTTGGCTTTTCTACATACTGTATATACTCAAACCTTGCTTCTAAAAGGATCAAGTCCACATCTTCCCTCACAAGGAAAGGGTTCTGTGGGTCACCTGTAATGTCTGGAAGACAAAAATGATCCATGGGGGATGGGAAGAGTTGATTCTATCCCACGAGCATGGAGCTAATGGTGAGTGACACCAGGATGTAAAACTAGAATCTGGACTCCAGTTTCTGCAATGCAGTGAAGAAGAGACACTTCACTAGTAAAGGGTGAGAACGCTGTGACCACGAGCCTACCAGAAACAAGAAGAGGAGATGTTCATGAAATGGCGAGGTGTGTGCTAAGGACATTTAACATGAGATCGATCCTCTTTGTAGATGTTTAAGTGTCCAGTACAGCATGTTGTCTATAAGCACAGAACCATTCTGGCCTTAAAACACAAAGGATGTAAAAAAAAAAATCTGCCTTTTGAACCTGTGGTTGAAAACTGGGTCTTATTATCATCCAAAAATGTTTCCCCCCAAAAAGTCTGCTGTGTTGCTCCCAGCCCATGGTGATCCGGTGAGACTCTCTGCACTGTTCACACCTTTAGAAGTCAGAGCACATGCCTCAGACCGCTGAGCTCTCACTCTAGATTAGCACGCCACAGGTAGTTCTTTGCTTAGCGGTTAACTTCCTCTCAGAGCGGTGGTTCCTGGGTCAAGAGGGTGTTATTCACCCAGTTACCATTTACTGAGAGCCTACTAGGTGTCAAGCTCTCAAGAAAAAAATTATAGCCCTCCACCCCCCGCTGCCTTAGGAGTTTGGGATTAACATAGACACACTACTATATATAAAACAGACAAATAGCAAGGCCCTACTGTATAGCACAGGGAACCATATTCAGTAGCTTGTAATAACCTATAACAGAAAAGAATCTGAAACAGAAAATATGTATGTATAACTGAATCACTATGCTGTACACCAGAAACTAACACAACATTGTAAATCAACTATACTTCAATTAAAAAAATTGTATCAACTCTCTAGGAGTTATTTATTTCTTCCAGGTGTCAGTTAAATATGTGTCTGTGTGATTGCTTGTCTGAAGTCTGGCTTCCACCTTACAGTGTAACTTTTTTGAGGCATCATGATCCAGCGGCTAACTCACAGGACTATGAAATCACATTGCCTGCAACCAAATCCAGGCTCTGCTGCTTACTTGCTGTGTGATCTTGGGCAAGTCACTCATCCTCTCTGCACCCCAGTTTCATCATCTGAAAAATACTCTAAATTGCTGTGTAACTGAAACAAAATAAGATCTATAAGCCCTGAGTATTTCTCTGTTTCTGCCCCACAGAAATGCTCAATAAATGGAAGATATTTAGGGGCATATCTCCTTTGCTTACCAGCTTTCCCTTGTGCCTGACACCCATAGGTGCTCAATGAGACACATGAGTTAATTTTCGTCACACAACTGGACATACAGCAGGTATTGAAAGCATAGTTGAATTCCTTAATTCACTGAAAGAAAATTTGAACTATTCTGTTCTAGGCATAGGAAGTAAGGCAATCAAGAAAACAAGCAGAAATCCCCATTCTTGTGGACCTTAGAACAGAATGGAAGAAAGACAAAGCCAAAACACAATGCACATGGAAATGCAACACTAGGTTTACAGGTGACAAGTGCTAAAGGACAACACAGGAGAGACTAAGAGGGACTTGGGAGTGCAGAGAAGAGGTCTGCAAGTTTAAATCCTCCTTGACAAAGTTCCATCTGAGCAGACTTAAAAGAGGTGAAAGGGTGAGCCATACAATTATTAGGTGGGTGGGGCAAAGCCCATGCAAAGGGCCTGGGGCAGCAGCACACCCAGCCAAGGAACAGCAGAGGACCTGTGGGACTGGAGAAGAGTGAGCAAGAGGGGACAAGCAGCAGATGGGGGGACAGGGGGAAGAGGCAGAAACTTCATAGGGCCCTAGAGACCATCGTGAGGCTCTGGTTCTTCCTGAGTGAAACAGAAGCCTCATCCAACAGAATGACATTAGACAGCGACAGACATAGGTACATACTGAGATATTCAAGTCAATCTGGTTGTTTTCATGAGAAGTAA